CCATGGAGAAAGAGTATTCTGGGAAAATTGTGCTGGAAAAACTGAATAAACTCATGCAGAGCAATGAAATCGAATCCTTATCTTACACCACACACAAAAATTCAAAATTAAAGACTTAAACATAAAACCTGATACTATAATATTCCTAGAAGAAAATGTAGAGAAGCAGTTTCTTAGCATGGGCATTGGCAAGTATTTATTAGATATGACAAATAAAGCACAAATAATGTAAAGAAAAACCAACAAATGGAACATTAAAATTTAAAACTTTTTCACAATAAAACATTTAAAACACAACCTACAAAATGGGAGAAAAAATATTTGTATATACCATATATCTGATAAGAGATTAATAACAAATTATATAAGCTGATAAAGTAAAAAAAACAAAAAAAACCTTAATTAGACTTACGCTGTTAGTGTTTTTCAAACTCTATTGTATGTTACAATGAAACACAAAATATACCTCAAATTTTTGGGACATCACTTTGGTACTGATTCAGTAGGTCTGATATTAAAGAAAAAAAAATTAGCATTTGTGACAGATTCTAAGATGCTGATACCATTGGTCGAGAACTGATATTTTAATAACCACTGACCTGGGCTAGAAGACAAAAGGAAAAAATTCAAATGATCCTTTGCTATCTGTCCCTAGGTTTATAATCTTATACGTTTCTTATGTTGCAGACACTCCAATTCTTATTAATGGCAAAAACAAAGATAAGTTGATGTTTATTTTGTTTAACAGGTAGATATGAATTCCCATCTGTGAGTTACATACAAAATACGTACACTATCAAAATGGCAATGGAAAAAAAATTTTTTTTCAACTGATGATTTTGACTAGAGACTCTAAGAATTGCCAAATCACAAATGACAAGCTTATTGTTATAACCAAAACCATCCATACAAAAGGACATATTTTATACATTTATTTTCTAACAAAATATATGAAACTAAAAAATGTGGTCCTGGTGACTGAACAGTGTTATTAGTTTTCCTTGCCATCTGCTCATGCTTTATGGAACCTATTAATTCAAATGACAGACATAAGCAGCACAGAACACAAAGCCAGGATGCCCGAGTTTGAATTCTCTACTCCACAACTCACTCATTTTGACTTAGGTCAAGTTATTCAACCTGTGCCATAAACCAGTTTTCTCTCCTGTTATATAGTAATAAAACTTACCTGTTATATAGTAATATTATAGAACTTACCTGATAGGTTAAATATGAGGATCAAGTTCATATTCACTGAAGTCCTTAGACATTGACTGGCCCATCACTAATCCTTAGTGTCTTGATATTTACAAAAGCCAACCAACATGCCAAATATTAAAAAATGAGGATAAAATGATTGGCCCAAACACAAAGTTATATGCAGTTTATGAGAAGATATAGACACAAATTAATCATAGAAATAAAATATGAAGTATGGAACTGCAAACTGAAATAAACATTGTGAAGGAAAAGATAAGCATTTTTAAAAAAAGCATTAATAGACCCATTTCCCTATCAGCCTTAAAAAAAGATAATCTATCTGGACAATAGCATAATCAAAAATGAATGGCAAGTTAAATTATTTTGACACAATCTTTAACACAAAAATGTTAAAGTCTGGAAGTTTTATTTCATTTTAATAGACATTAAATAACTTTGTAAATTGAAAAACTAAAAAGTCATTAATTAGCATTTAACAAAAATATGCTGTTCAGAAAAACTGTTCTTGAATGAATTACAACTAAAAACTACATAAAAACTTAACATCAAACAATAACTGCCCAAAAGAAAATGTTGCAAGCCCAGTTTTTTAAGGATAATGCCACACAAATATACAACCCCATGTGCCTACCCTTACTTAACAAGGCATGCCATACAACAAAATGAGTTTAAGTTGTAAGATACTTGGAACAGCAAGAAAGCAATCAGGTAAAAAACAACAACTTTCCAACTACCCAACAAACCAGCAATGAAAATATATGGGGGGGGAAAGACACAACAACAAAACCACCACAAACAACCCCAAAAAACGAATTACAAAACCTAAGAACATGTGATGGCAAGAAATTATATAAGAAACAGAATCAAATACCAAATATGAATTCTATATCAAAGTAATTCATAATTAAACAAAAACACCTGTTAATGTTCTGATAACCCAAATGCCCTAAAACTGACATTAGGCCTTGTACGTGAGTTTTTTAAAAAGTTTATTGTGGGTGTATGCATGACAACCATTTTCAAACTGGAGAATGACTGACTTTTTAAAAGCAAGGGGTGGCAGAGCAATAATCCAAAGTCACTTAATGTATTTCTAAGAATTCTTTAAGGTTCTCTTTGCCATTAAGATGCTGAAGACTTGTCTAAAGAAAACCAAACAAAAGTTATACATGATAAAAATTATAACTGATGGTATAAAATATAAATTATAATAAAATAGATTACAGTCCTTTGCCAGTATATGGTCAGAACAAGAAAATACACCTTTGACCTATAAACATTTGTCTATCGTAGACTGACTTCAATTTATATTTTTAATGGTTTATAAATTCCTGGCTTAAATTATTACCAAAAACTAGAATACGTCTCAAGATCTACAATTTAATAGTATTCCTCTAAAAGTAGATGGTCAAAATTAATTTTCTACTTTAATTAATAGTAATGTAACATGACTTAAGATTATGTAAGGTTTTAAAACTAGGGAAAGATTAACATAACATAAAAAATTCTGTACTTTTTTTTTTTTTTTTGCAACTCCTTTGTAAATCTAAATTTCCCTAAAAATAAGAGGTTGAAAAGAAATAAAAGCTCAACTTCTTAGGACCTTACTGTATACTACTAGCAAATGTGGTAGGCAAAAAAAAAAAAATAATTTTCCCCATGATTAGTTTAGCTATCAAACTGATTAGTTTACTATCAAATTAGTTACCAAGTATACAATAAACATAGCTTTGACTGCTTTGCTATAGTAATTACTAGCAATGCTGAGAAAGACAAAATATATTTCTAGAGGGACAACTTAATAAAAGTTAAGAATTTTAATTTTTTGAAAGTCTGATAAAAGTAAAACACATTTTACCTAATTATAAATGTGTTGCTATATGTAAGTATAAGTTAAAAGACAAGTATCATTTAAATTTTTATCTGGCCAACAAATTCAGAGGTTCGTGGAAATTAACAACAGAAGGGTCACTAATGTAACCAGATTAAAGTATGCTGTATCCAAAAATAATACAAAAGTCAGAACTTTGTAACTATTAGATGTATAATCTGCTTGCTTTAAACAATATTTCAAGAGCACAGAACAGAGTAAGGTGGTGTTTAGGGGAAAATAGCCTCAAAAAGGACATATAAAAAAAGGGTATATTAATTCATTACGTCAAATCAAAATAGCAACCTTTCCCCTAAACAGTGAAGATTGCATGTGTCCTATTGAACCCAGGTCCTAAGTTATGAAAACTACCGTTACAAAATTTAAATACAATTCACTTAAATACTCTATTTGTGTACCAATTTTACTGCTAAAAATTTCTTGCCAGAGTATTTTAGTATCATAAAAGCCTAGTTGCCATATTTTACATCTCTATTTGTAACAGAGCTAAGCCATTTAACAATTACATAACTACATCTAATAGTTATTTATAGAGTGAGATATACTAACTCTTTAACTAAAATTGTATTTCAGCAAATTTTACATGATAAAAATCCTATTCATCAAGAGGACAAGGGTAGAGGGGTTGCAGGGACGGGGGAAGAACCACTCAAAGGGCTTAGGAAATAATCATTTTAATCTCTGCAAGCATAATTCATGGCCAAAAATTCTGCCAGAGTTTTTGCCTTCATAACATTTTTCATTTTCTTTGTGAGCTCTGCACTACCTCAAAAAGTAATCTATTCTTTAATGGGTTCAATAAGCATAAACAATCTAATTCTCTGATACTATTTAAAAAGTACAATATATAATCCATATTGTATCACCTGGAATTGTCAAACTGTTCATGAAAGTCTAAAAAAACAAAACAAAAACAATTACACTATTTTTATTTAATATGTAATAGCTGTCATAAAGCAACGCTCAAATATTTAGTTTTCTGAAATTCTAGTGTATTTCCATAATGTATTTCTATAATTTTATATAGTTTACCATCAGGAAAGCCAGATATATATATTTAGTTTCTCTTTATATGTAATTAAAAATATTAAGAGGGTATGGCCTATGATTCAAATACAATTTAACCATCACACCATACCAAGACCTTATAATTAGAAGATATTTAACATTATTGCTTAGTCTCATAAAATGATGAATTTTAAATAAATCCATACCTCTATATTTTTTATGTTTCCTGTATTCTTAAGTGATACTGCCTTGCAAGTAATATAGGTACTGATATAAATTTTTGCAATTAGTTGCAAATAAATTGTAATTTATTAATCAATGCATATATTCCTCTTTAACTAGTTACTACACTACCTTACAATTTAATTCCTCCTACAGAAATTAACCGTCCGAGTGGGAAAAAAACATTGCAGAGCTTTAAATTTTAAAGATTTCAAGTATTATAGGAACACAAACTCATGAAAAAACTAATTAAAAATTTGACATTCCGTCTTGCTTTACTAATTATGGAATAATAGAAAGAGATGTTACTTTATATTCATCTGTTTAACACAATATTATACAAAGAACTATTCTACTTACAAGCTATTTTCTAGCTTTTTCAAGTATGGGACACAACTATAATTCTATTAGTGAGGCTAAATGAATAATCAATCTTAGTTAAACCAAAAAAAGAGAAAAAGGAAAAAGAAAAAAAAAAAAAAAAAAAAAAGAGGCACAAAAAGATAAAACTGACTTTGGCTTTTAAGAACCTACACTGTTGACCCTGAAATACCAGATTCAACTATCACAACAAAACAAAGATTTACAGCAGCAAGCCACTACTTCACCACATATTAAGAATTCTAAGACAGGCAATAACTTTTTATTCCCTCTCAATTCATTCTGTTTTATCTTCTTTTTGCTTTTCCTGGGTTTTGGTTGCAGGCAGTTCAAGGCTTGCCCACTGCATTGGTTCAGCTTTTCTCATGGTGATCTCAATCTTTGTTGCAGTCATAGTTACATAACTTCGCGTTACATCAATCACCTGCAAAATATCAAAGAGAATTAAAGTAAACCTGGGTAGTGTATTAGTCTTGCCTATTTTAATAATAAAAAATTCCAAGATTTTAGTGCTACTTAAATACCTAGATTTCACCTTTTTGGTTAGAATAATTACTAAAGTGCTGCCTTTTACTATAGAAATGGTATTTTAAATTATTATGCTGGATTCATAATACTTACACCCCATAATTTCACATTTTGATGAAATTCCTTCTCTCCTTCGAATACAATGTGCACATTTAACTGAAAAAGATATTTATAGAAAGCTGAATAACTAATCAAACCCAAACTCAAGGTTTATGATATAAAACAATAAAACAATGATTATGAAAATAAGAATATACTAATAAAAATCATTTAAGCCATTTTAACAAGCTTCTAATATTGTTCTTTTTATTTGAAAAAAACATGAGCAGAAAGAAAAATTATCTGAGATTTTCCATTGAAAGAACTAAGTACCATATTATTTGACAAATTTTCTAAGCTACTACAGTGTCTCCAAAATGCTCCAGAACTGTATTACGTAGAAATTTTCATTTAAAATACTCCTTTAAAAGTAATTTCAAATTTTAAATGGGAAAGATGAAAAGAACTTATCCTAAAGCCAATTCATATAAGAACAATTATTACATCAACATAAAGAATAAATGTACAAAGATAATTTTTACTGAGAGATCTTTAGTGTACTTACCAAGGTGCTATTTGCTACTACTTGACTAAGTTCCGGAAGTGAGTTTTTAGCATATACTGAAATAGTGACTTGACCCCCAGTTTGATGCCAGTCATGTCTACATGGAACAACTTTTTTCCCCTGTAATATAAGACAACCTTTATGAATTTACAAAGCTCCATGTAACTTCTGAAAAAGAAGATTTTTTAAAGACCTATCTACATGAGAAAAAATTATCATATAATTACTTTCAATGCTTATGAGTAAACTTCTAAAGTTGCTATAAGAAGTCTGAATAGTAAGATATATCATTATACAAAGAACTTTTATAGTTTTATGATTAGAGAACACATGTATTCTTTTTTTTTCTTTTAGAGCCTCCCTTCCTCTTTGAAATCAATTTAAATCATATATATTTTTAAAAAGGAGAGATGAATGGATAAACAAAGTGTGAGACACACACACACACACACACACACTCACACACACACACACAAAGAAGGAAGTATTAAAACATGCTACAGTGTGGATAAGTATTGGAAATATCATGCCAACTGTAATAAGCCAGACACAAAAGGACAAATATTGTATGATTCCACTTATATATCTAGAATATATAAATTTGTAGAAATAAAAAATAGGTTGAGGTAACCAAGGAATTGGGAAAGCAGTGGAATGGGGAGATATTGATTCAATGGTATAGCATTTCTGTTTGGATCAAAAACTTTTGGAAAAAGATAGCAGTGATGACCGTATAACATTGTGAATGTACTTCAGGCTACTGAATTTTACACTTCAAATGGCAAATTTTTAAAAATGTGAACTTTTCTTTCACACAATTTATAATTCTGCTTACTCTTTTCTATAAACAGGAAAAATAAAGCTATTTTAATTTACAAAAAAATCTCACCAAGGGTTCTATTCTGAAAACTTTTGCATATAATAAAAAACAACAGTTTATTTTCTTAAATGAAATCTTCAAATTTTGGACTTAGGAGAAAATACAAGGAGACTTCACTCTTTTGCTAATAAAAACATTTAGAAGTTTTGTGATAGACGAATTATAATTTGAGGGATATACAGTGTGGGACAAAAGGTTTATAGCTGTTCATATAGAAATAATACAATAATTAATAAGTAATAATATAAAAATTAAATCCTGTGTTTCAGGTAATCACAACTGTAAACCTATTTTTGTTCCACCCTGTATTATCTCCAACCATGTGTTATTAAAAGGCAGAAAATATAGAATACTCACATGCAGAATAAACCCCTACAGCAATTTGAAAATTTACAATTACTTTTAAAGTTAAAAGACATATACTGAAAATATTTGCCTTGGATTTATTAGTGCCAATGCAGCACATAAATCTAACTACATTATATAATATATTAATAATAGCTCTCAAACACTTATTTAGCAATAAATTACTTGCTTTTTTACAGCTTACTGGGATTTGGGGGAATTATTTGCAGAACCCCAAGTCTTTTTAAAAGCTACCTAGGGAAGTAGGAACTGATGCTTTCTTTTTTCCGTTGACCCCTTTCCCTGCAAACAGAGGCATTCAAAACAATTTCAACAAGTTTGCAATACTTCTCTTTGCTACCAGATGAAGTGTTTGTTCACCTGTAAATGGCTGAATGGACTTCTAAGGCCAAAAGACAATCAAGAGGTCTAAATGATCGATAACATCAAATGAGCAGAAAAGTGATTTTTATTTTAAAAAAAAGTGGGAATAACCACAGAATTACAGAAAAATATCTAAAAAAATTTTCCAGGCTTAAGTATTTCATAAAAATGTATATACTAGCATTAATATATACAATGACTATTTTGATCAAAGGGCATGCTCTGGGAGTTTGACTCAGATTGCTTTTAGTTTTTAGGCCCATCAAAACTCCATGTGAGATATAGGCAAACTTTTATTTTTAATCTAAAGACAGGATAATCTCAAATTTTAAAAAATAACACAGATGAATATACTTTAATATGATATCTTGAAAAGGTAACTTACAGCATCCTTTGCCGTCCACATATGTTTCCCTTTTGTACAGCCCTCTTGGGCTAAGAAAGTATTAAAATCAGAAGTTTTTCTTCTACAACAGCTCCAGTATTTCATCCTATAAATTATCATAGAAAAGTTTCAGAAATAAAATCTCACAACCAATTAAGTTCAGAAGTATCGTAGCGACAAGTGTGATGTAAAAAAATCACTAAGTGTGCAACTTTAGTATCTTAAATCTAAGTAAACAGTTAATATTATCAAGACTGATCATTTTAAATTCACAATGTCATTTATTATAACAGTTTTGGATCTCCTAAGTAATGGTGCTTAAAAACACCACAGAATTGCAAATCAGCTTTTCACTGACAGATCCAATATCCTCATGAAGCTACCAAAGAGTGCTATGACCACAGTTTTATATCCTCACATTTAATAACCCAGGAAAATGAAAATATACAAACAAAACTAAAAACTAATGTCTGCACATCTGTGAGACAAAGTATTGGGGTTGTGAATAATGAAACCCACCATTACACACTTGATAAAATCTAACATTAGAAGACAAAAATTACAGTAAAACTTTTGGGCTTGATTTCTAAAGAAAAGTGGGAACAATGGAAGATTTCAACACAGTTCGGCTCTCAACTACAAGTTGTAGACAAGCATGGGTTTTTGGACACCACAACGTCGGTGTTGTTAATGCCCAAGGTCAAAAACTATAAATGCCCTCAATGCTGTTCTTCAAACAACAAAAAGCTGTTTAGCTCAAATAACTATCACATCCTACATAATAAAGAGCTAATATCCTAATTAGACTGGACAGCGGAATGACCTTCTGGAATGACCAGTGGACGGGGCGTGGGGCCATGAGGCAGCTGGGGCTGCGAGGGCCGAGCCCCTTGCACAAATTTCGTGCTTTGAGCCTCTATTAAAATATAAAATAAGGAGAAACATGAAGTTTGAGTCACAATGGCCACTTAACTGAAATACTTTTTGAGTTTCTCATGAGTAAAAAGACAAAACACACATTTCTAGATTATTGTAAAGGTTACACAATACAAATAAAAATATCTAATTTACTGCAGGGCAAATAACGTTTAAAGGCACAGTAACTTTTCTAACCTCTACCATAAGTTTTAATAAGTAAGTTACCCTTCATGGAAAATAGGTACACCAGAATGATATACACAGACTTCTTCTAGACTCTGTAGACCTTGATATGTCTAAAAGAAAACAAACAAATAAAGTTACATAACTCAAAGTTACATTTCACACATATTTGTAGTAGTGCTGACCTCTATGAACTATGAAAATGCTCAAGAAATAACATAACCTAGTGTAGTCACAAATTCACCCAGGCCTTTTCAATAAGAAATGAAAAATTATTCCTGTTTGAATATGCTTAAGTTTCAGTCCCCTATGAAAAAGGCAAATTGAAAAGTAGGCAATAGGATGTATTGATATGCTTTCAGACTTTTGGGTATGAAGTCACATCCAAGAATACTGAGATATTTAAATTTACAGAACAATATTAAAACCAAGAGATTAGGAATCTCATCAGAAATTCAGTTACAGTATGACTTATGTGCATAGTAAAATCTGTTTGGGTTATTAGGGATTAATATGGACAACCTAGTAAGAAATTTTGTAAGTTCTAGAGTGATTTCTTATCCCCATGAAGGGTAAAATTAGCTGCTGAACTATAAATATATATATATATATATATGATTTTTCTGGAAGATCCGGGCCCCATTCCTGCAGTAGGTGAAGGCCCTACAGATGAATTCATAAAAAGTTATGTTAATAAAACATAAATGCAGCCAGTAATATATTTCCTATTTTGGTATTTACTGTAACCACCTACAGTACAGAAAATAAAATTCTATACATTTACTCTTCTGTAAATTCAAAGTTCTGGGTTTGTGTTATCTCCTAAAGATATAAGTACATGTAACTCAGTATGTTAGATTCTGAACTTATCACTGTTGCCCCCCAAACCTATTATCTTATTTGATGATATCATATCAACTCAATCTCCCAAAGCAAAAATCTGTAAGTCCTCTTCAATTTTTCCTCTCCCTCCAATCATATGCAATCTATCAAAAACTGTCAATATGACTTAAAAATATCAACTTGACTTGCTAATCTTTCTCATGATCACCACCAGATTTTAGGCAATCTATTTATATAAAATAGAGAAATATGCTAATTAACCGAGAAGCTGGTGTTGGGGGGTGGGGCAGCAGGGGCCTCCATGTGCCTGATCAGCAGAAGCTGTGGCTGCTTCAAGGGCCAGAGAAAGAGGCAGAGTCGAACCAGCAATTCAATTTCGAATCACACACTGGGATCCTAGTGAGACTATAATAACAGATTCTCACTCAGGGCCTTGAAGTAAGCAGATTTCATAAATAGGACACAGAAAACACTAGTCACAAAGAATATAATTAATGAATTGGATTTATTTTTAATTAAAGAGCCTCTATTTATCAAAAGCCATTAAGATAGTGAAAATGTATACTGTCTCAAACAAAACTTTATCTAAAATAAAATATATAAAGAATTTCAAAAATCAGTAAGAAAAAGAAAATTTAATAGGAAAATAGGTAAAAGATTTGGACATTTCACAAAAGAGGATATCCAAATGGCCAATAAAAATACAGAAAGATACTCAATCTCATCACCCAGAAAGTTAAATTAAAACCACAATGAGAACACTACATAGCCACCAGAATGGCTAACATATAAAAGATCAATATTACAGTGTTGCCAAGGTTCAGAACAAATGAAACCAGTCTAACAAACTGTTGGAGGAGGGTAAATACAACCACTTTAAAAAACTATGTCAAAATATCTGCTAAAGCTGAACATATGCACACTATAATCCAGCAATTCCATTTTTAGTCATATTTCTAACAGAATGTACATGTTCCAAAAGTTATGCACAAAAATGTTCACAGCATAATTAATCCAAAAATATAAAGGACAATAGCAAGGATAAATTGATATATTCAAATGGCATGTTTCAGAGCAATGAAACTGAACAAACCACGGCTAATGCAACAAAGATCACCCTAATATTTTATTAGGCTAAGAAGACAGAGACAAGGATACCCGTTCTATGATTCTATTTACATTAAGTTCAAAAACAGGCAAAATTCATCTTTGTGGATAGAAACTGTGGTTACCTTTGGGAGAATGAATAATGAGAGGAGGCATAAGAAGGGTTCTGCTTTGGAAAATCCCTCAAGCTATCAAACCTGTATTTGCATGTCTTTAAATGTATAATATATTCAATGAAAAAGAGTAAAAATTTTCTGTAATAGCCTTCATAATCTAAAGTCTCACTTTTGAGCATTAAAAAGCCTTTCAGGATCTGGCCCCTATTTATCTCTTTTAATCTCAATTTTGCACGGGCAAATTCTGTTCCATTATTAACTATTCTTTTGTTTCCTATATGCTACTTTTACCACACCTCTGCTTGGGATACACTAGTACCATGGTCAGCAAACTGGCTCGCGAGTCAAATGTGGCTATTTGGCCCCTTGAGTGCAACTTTCCACAAAATATCACAGCATAGGCGAGTCTATTTTGAAGAAGTGGCATTAGGAGTTTAAAAAACTTGGCTCTCAAAAGAAATTTCAATTGTTGTACTGTTGATACTTGACTCTGTTGACTAAATGAGTTTGCAGACCACTATACTAGTATATTCTTTTCCTTTCTGTTCATTTACAGATCATTGTTTTTCAAAATTTACCCAGAATACCTTCTTTCTGTGTCTCTTTCTCCACAACTCTACCACTTGCCCTGACTCTCCTACCCCAAGAATTATCATTTATCTACTGCTTCTACCTTTGTGAAGATGTTTATATTTCTATCCCTAAATGATTAAGGTGATCTCAAACTTAACATGAGGATAAACCACACACCTGCTCCCTCCACTTGTCTTTCTTCATCAATGCTCCACCAATCACCTACATGCTAGAGACACAAGCCTCCTTCCTTCACTTCCAGTTCATTAGCAAATCCTGCTAATTCTTCAAGATATCATTCATTCTACATGCATTTGCCATGTGCCAGGCACTGCGTTAAGCACTCAAAATACAGCAAAGAGGCAAAACAAATATAATCATTTCCTTCTAAACTTTATATAAGGGAAGGAGGGGGATGGAAAGCTAGATAGAACATTAGCAAGATAAATATGCCAAGTAAGTAGTATGTCATAAGGTGTGAAGTGCTATGGAGAAAAAAAAGGAGAGGAAATATTGGAGGGTATGCAATTTTACATAGAACAGGGAGGGAGGAGGAAACCTCATTGAGATGTTTGATTACATTCCACATTTAATCACTTCTAAAAAACATACTTTCTAGTCTCACTGCCTGGTCTTCCACAATAATATCCTAACTACTTTTCCTTCTCCAAATTCACTCTTGTCCCATTATAATCGCCATTTAGCAGCCAAAGACAAATTTTTAAACCCCTCCTTAAAACAGATAATAGCTTCCCATTTTACTTAGAATAAAGCCCAAACACCTCATTGTGGCTTTTAAGGACCTCCATAATGTTGCCCACCTCTTTTCCACTACCTATTTACACACTTTTGTCCAAGCCCCACTGACCTTTCTCATAATTCTTTGAATAGACAAGCTCTAAAGCTTCTATACATACTACTCCCGAGTCTACTCCAAGACTTACTCAACTCATCCATACATAATTAAGATTTTTTAAGTGTCACAACTTCATAAAAGATTTCTCGTGACATTCTGATTTAAATACCTTCACTCTATTTTCTTCTCTTCATAACTGTCTGAATTCATTTTAATTACCTATTTGTTGTTCTTTCTTCTAAACTAGACTATCACAAGAACAGAGATTTCTGCTACGTTCCTACCATGTCCCTGCCTTACATAATGTCTGGCACACAGTAAGCTCTCAGTGAGTGTTGACTAAATTAGGATTATTTAATCCCATCACCCTATCAGATATGCTCCTCAAATAGTCCCTTATCAATGTTCACAAGCCATAGCTCATAGCATAGTGTCCAACATGTAATAGGCACACAAATGTGTGTTGAATTGATTTACAAAATTACACTTTTCCAAAATTAATATTTTACTTCCATGACTCAACACAAATTTTATAATATATACCTTTGTACACCCTCCATTTTTACATGAGGTCCCAATCTTAATTTCATCACTGTCTTCTTCTGAAACAAAAACATCAAATGAGAAACATTAAAACAGAACACTTGACTATAGTGTCATTCTTAAGAAGTAACCTTTTCCATAAAACGAATATATTTTAAAAATAATCTAAATACAAAAATTTAACATATTAATATTAAGCATTTTAAGTAAATAAGTTTTCTATATGACCTTTCAGGTAATGTATTTAAAAAGCTAATAAGCCAACTATTGTGATTAGATTTTACCCATATCTCTAAAAGGCTGACACATTTCTATTCTTAATAAAGTATTATATCCAATATCTAAATCTTGTTTGAAAGAAAAATCATGAAAGGGTACTTTCTTCCTATGGATATCACGTATAAGTCAGAGAATATATTTTATCGAGTGCACAAAAAAACATTTACAATTATCAAAGAAATTTATCTGCTTAAAAATAGTAATGAATTGAAGAAGTAATTAATGAATTAATTAACAGGCTCTCATTTTAAATAAACCACCTACCCATTCTCTGGTATAACTGGCATTTAAAAAACATTTAAATAAGTTCTTTACTACAATGTGCTACATATGTATTTTTTATATTCAGTAAATTATCCAGCTCCTTTCGCTTTTAGATAAATAGTACGAAAAATAATTGCAACATACAAAACAAAATCTTACCTTTGTCTTTTTCATTCCCAGATGACAGTTTAAGTTTATCCAGGGCTTGTTTTAGGGAGGCAGATACTTTTAATTCCAAACTTGTCATTGGTTCATCTGGGCTGGAGAATTTTGAAATTCTATTACCATCATTAATGTACTAAAATATTTCTTTGTACTAAAAATAAATATTTTTAAGAGCTTTTTTATGGAAAGAAGCCAAATCATGTGTGAATCAAGATTTTCCCATTATAAAATTTTTTAACTGATTTTTAGAGAGAATAAGGGAGAGAGAAACATCAATGGGTTGCCTCCTCACAGGTCCCCACCAGGGATTGAACCTGCCTCCTTTTGGTGTATGGGATGATGCTCAAATGAGCCACACTAGCCAGGGGAAATTTTTCCAAATAACTGCTCTACTGAATTAACATGTCTAAGTTTTGTGTGATTTTTTTTTTTAATATCTTTTATTGATTTTTTTTACAGAGAGGAAGGGAGAGGGAAAGAGAATTAAAAACATCGATGAGAGAAACATCAATCAGCTGCTTCCTGCACACCTCCTACTGGGAAGTGCCCACAACCACAGTACATGCCCTTGACAGGAATTGAACCTGGGGCCCTTGAGTCCGCAGGCCAACGCTCTATCCACTGAGCCAAACTGGTCAGGGCAACATGTCTAAGTTTTAACAGAAAAGGTTCTGATATTAAAATATTAAGTCTCAAATAATCATGCTATTGCCAACAAATGAATTATTAATCAATAGGCTAATGGGAAGAAAATAAAGAGTGGCAATCCAAGTTTGTCAAGATGAGTATATGCAAGGAAAGGACCATGATGTACTTTTATGTTTCATGACTAAGCAAAATGCTGAGTATGTAATAAATAAGCAATAAATATGTACTAAGTGAATCATATTCCTAACTGGTGGAGATAATTCACTTAGTGTGGACACTGGTGTAACTTTAAATTCAGATGTATCAGCAGGAAATTTAAGTATAATAAAACAGTAACAGCATCCCCCTAGCATTTCATATGATTAAGCGACATATGTACGAACTTTTTAAGGCCCATTCAATAGATATTATGATTACTAATAAACTCAGGAATGAAAATATAAAGCCTATTCATTCCGCATCCTTAATGAAATGAAACCTCTGATGCAGGAAGCCATTAACAAAGTACACAAAAACCTATACCCTCAAAATCTTTACAATACCACCAAATATAGGATAAAATATTTATCTCACTTCTTCTAAAGTAAAATTAGTAGTAGTCCATTATTTAAAAAAATAATACCTCATATTGACAATTATATGTACACTGTAGTACTTAAGGAGTCATGTCACAATGCTTGTCTTTTTCTGATAATTAAAAAAAAAACAAAAAAAACTTTTTAGACTGCCCAGCAAGGCATTTAATAAAGTCTTTCATGATTTTTAATAAGGTGAAGTTGGAATAAAAATCACTAAAGTTGTTTGCTTAAATAAACAAAAAATCAAAAAAGTCTCTTGGGGTTCTTATCTTGATCTGATATAATTCAATATGCTATAAATTTAAGTAAGATCATTAAAGGAAAAGTTGGGAAACCCTGTCATTAGTGTAAATAAAATATCAACAGGAGCCATATTTGAGGACAAAGTCCAATTCATTCATTTGTCTTGTACTTTGGTTCTAAAATAATTCAGCACTCAAGTGCCACATGAATAAGACCTGGTGTAACAGTGGCACCCAATTTGCAGTGTAGAATAGAAAATTGATTCTAGACAAGTATGAAGAGTCATATAATTCTACTGAGCGAAAGTGCTTTAACAAATATCCTATGTAAATAAAATACATTAAAAACTTTAGCAGATATGCTATCTAAATCAAAGTCAGTAATGAGATTAATAGTTTCAGATATCTGAAAGTACTAGTAGAAGATGGCAGTAGGTTTCTTCTAAGTGTCAAAATATAGTAGACAAATAAAAGAGAAACTTTGGCTCAATACAAGGGAAAATCACATACTGATCTAGTAACAGTGGACCCCTCTGAAGTAAAAGGACATTCTTCTTTAATAGATTTGAAAGGGAACTAAAAATTTTCCTGTCAAGAATGTCCTAAAATATATTCAAGAAACCGTAGAGAAAACGAGACGGAAGACCTCTAAGTTCTATTTCAACTCAAACTGATGAAAAGGACAATTCCTTTCCAGAACCTCACTATGCCCCAGCGAGAAAGACACATGCCATGGCACAAGGCGGATGTGTGGCTCCTCCCCTTTCCCCCGCCATAACTGTGATGGTACAGTGACCAACTCTGCAATTAAGTTTACTGTATATATGGCCTCAAGTTGAAGAGGAATAAAAATAAAAGATATCTAAAGGAAAACAAAATGGCAAAAAAGATGGTGACCTACACAACTGTTACAAATGCAATTATGCAAAACCATAATACCAGGAACAAATGCTATCATTCACGTGTGACAAAAATATGCAACTGTAAGACATGTACCTTGGCCTCTTTATTGCTTCTACTGGTTTAGGGGCTTGAATGATGTGCTCCTGAAATTTGGGTTTCAATTCAGATAGTTCTTTCTTCTCAGTAGTCTTGACTTCAGGTTTGACTGGCTCAGGTGGCTTTTCACTATTATGCCTGCCTTTTGTACAGCCCTGTTAGTGAAAGGTATTCATTAAGAGTTACCCTTTCATCTATTTCACATGCCTTGATAGAAATACTATATTTTATTCTTATTAATAAGTCCTCTTCTTCACTTTTATCATACTGACTTATTTTAAGAAACTAAGACTCTAAATTTACTATTATTTGTAAAGTAGAGGCCTGATGCACAGATTTGTGCACATTAAAGGAAATTAATTAGATGGTGGCCAGCAGGGCAGGACTGGGTGATACCTACCAAACATGCCCTGGAGCCAAGCTCCTGCAATCTCTCCCGGGCAGACAGGACCTGGGGTGGGGCGGGGCCTCAAAGGGCATCTGTGAAGTAAGCGGGTCGCTCCAGCTGATGGGGACCCTGGCCTGTGGGGATTGGGCCAAAACCAACAGTCCAACATCCCCTGAAGGGTTCCAGAGTGCGAGGGGGCACTGGTCAGTTCTTGCATTTAGCATCTGTCTCCTGGTGGTCAGTGTGCATCATAGCAACCGGCCATTCAGCCAGTCGCTTAGTCTTTTATAAATATAGATGAGATATTATATCTGAATAATGCATTTTTTAAAAAAGCTTCTGAATAACACTTCATAAATATCTACTTAACTCTCTATTAAACATACAGCACAAAATTCTTGTTGATAGGAAAAAAATTCTAGAGATCTCAGAAAGATAATTCTATAAATTATTTATTAAAAAGAGCCTCAATCTGATGCCCAGTTCTGCTACTAACTAGCTACATGACTTTGGACAATTAATCCTCTCAAATCTCAGTTTTTCTCACCAGTAAAGGAGATAATGGTAAGATATTTTTTGAGAGGCACATCTGGCATGGAACATCTGGCAGGTAGCAACATACATCCAATACATACATTTTAACATCTCTGAAATCATAAAATTAATGACAAGTCAATTAAGCTTTACTTTCCTTTCTTACAACTATATAAAATAATGGTACATTTCCATGGAATGTCTGACTTGATAAAAATGTATTGTTCCTAACTGAAAATACTTTAAATTGTTGTCTACCACCTTCCATCTCCTTAATATTCCTTTAGGACTAATTACTGTATCAAGCACAAACCAAAATTGAGAATTGGAAATTTTAATCTCTAAAACAGGTAAATTCCTACATTTTAAAGACTATAGGAGGGAGGTATGGTATGCAGTTAACAGAGCCTCAACTGAAATCAGATTCCTTAAATCTGGAGCTATCCAGAATATGTACCCTTCAGGAGATAACCTAGAAAAAAAGTAATACTTACTACAATGCTTAAAAAATCAGAAAAATCCGTTGTTCTTCTCCTACAGCAAGACCAACCCTATGAAACATGAGAGGGAAAAAAACAAAACAAAACTGAAAACTGTATTTGCATGAGAACCACAATCCAGTAAAATACTCTACTTGTACTTATCTTCTTGAATCCTGAAGTGACTTGTCTATATATTTATGTATTTCATATTTTTTTTTAAAAAAGAAAGTGCTCTACTTAGAAAATCTGGTAAACGAGAGAGATAATTATAATAATTTAGTTTCTAAATATTGTAGCTGTTCTTCAAAATATGAGTTCCACCTATCTTCAGAATAATATAAATTAATGTAGTAACTTAAGCACTGTTAAATCTTTGAAGGTCAAATGATCTTTTCAGTCAGAAGCATAAAAATATAAAAATTGCTAACTATTGTGTAACTTCTGAACAAAATACCAACTGGATCATCAAAAAATTACTTGAACTTTAATTCCAATGTAGTTCAGAGGATGAGGAAATAGGCAGCAAGATTTTGGAGGCCTGAAATATAGACTAAAGGCCAGCTTTGCACATACCCATCTGGGTCTCACGAACCTCCTTTCCCAAATATAATGCTTGAAGAATTTGGTTGTGATATTTTCATAATATGCACTAAGAGGTGCTTTGTTTTTGTTTTTTTTTAAAGAAAAATTTTATACATATTTATTTTGAAATGTAATTCTTTTTTATTCTAAACTAGAGGCCGGTTCACAAAATTTGTGTAAAGTGGGGGGGATCCCTTAGCCCAGCCTGCACCCTCTCCAATCTGGGATCCCTTTCACAATCTAGGACTACTGGTTCCCAATTGCTTGCCTGCCTGCCTGCCTACCTTCCTGATTGCCCCTAACCACTTCTGCCTGCCAGCCTCATCACTCCCTAACCACTCCCCTGTCAGCCTGATTGATGCCTAACTGCCCTCCCCTGCAGGCCTGATCACCCCTAACTGCCCTCCCCTGCAGGCCTAGTCACCCCTAACTGCCCTCCCCTGAAGGGCTGGTCCCCCCCAACTGCTCTCCCCTGCAGGCCTGAGTCCCCTCCAACTGCCCTTCCCTGTAGGCCCAGTCACCCCCAAATTCCCTCCTCAGCCAGCCTGGTCACCCTAACTGCCCTCCCTTGCAGGCTTGATTGCCCCCAACTGCCTTCTCTTGCAGGCCTGGTCCCTCCCCACAGCCCTTCCCTGCTGGCCATCTTGTGTCCACATGGGGGCAACCATCTTGTGTGTTGGAGTGATGGTCAATCTGAATATTACTTTTATTAGATAGGATAGAGGCCTGGTGCATAAATGGGGGCCAGCTGGTTTGCCCTGAAGGGTGGCCCGGATCAGGGTGGGGGTTCCCTTGGGGCATGAGGCAGTCTGGGTGAGGGGCCTGTGATGGTTTGCAGGCTGGCCATGCTCCCTGGCGACCCAAGTGGAGGCCCTGGTATCTGGGGTTTATTTATCTTCTACAATCGAAACTTTGTAGCCTGGAGTGGAGCTAAGCCTTCTGTTTCCAGGCAGCAGCCATTTCTGTTGGGACTTAAGTATCTATCTTCTATAATTGAAACTTTGTAGCCTTAAGTGGAGACCTGGGCCGTCCAGGGTTTGCAGAAAGCTTGGCTTCCCCCATTGCCAGGATAACTCTAGCCTCCCTCCTGCTCTCAGTAACTATAGCCATTTGGTTGGGTTTATTTGCATATTTGTTCCTGATTTGCTTGTGGGCATGGCGGAATGGTGGTTAATTTGCGTATTAGTCTTTTATTAGATAGCATTGAGATATAGATGAAAAGTTACTACAACCTTAAATAAAGGGTTTAAATAGCATTAATAATATAGCCACCAAAGAAGTTATTCCATGCAAGGAAAGATTTTATTGTCTTAAATCTTTATGAAGAATTTTATCAAGATGGTGGGAATACTGGGCTACACAGGTGATATAGACTAACTGTTCCCAAATGCCAATCTGGGATGAATGGTAGTCCTCAGTAATGAGAAAAAATGAAGGATAAATTTAAGCATGTGAGTATAAGGTTCCTGTTGTTTCTTCAGAAGGATTATATTTTTCTCTAAATATACCTCTTCTAATTTGAATATTAAAATGTTCTTTCTTTTGATACTGCAATGTTTAACTTCTTACTTAATCAAATATAAAACTGGCAACAGTAAACATTACATTGACTTACAAAGTTTGTCTAAAATTGAGTGAGCTGCGAAATCCAGTAGTCTTAGCAAGTCTAAGTCTTCAAGAAATGTTTATAGAGACAATAACAACAGTAGGGTTCCTTTAGGACTACTTACTGTATCAAGGACAAACCAAAATTGAGAAAAAATTTGGTTTGTGTGTTATAAAAATTTCTTCTCTTCTTTTGTAGGGTTGGAGAAGAGAGAAATAAAAATACTTCAAAGTAAAATCATTAACATTAATTAATCAGAATGATTAACTGTTGTTTAGTAAAAAAGAGTTATGGACTGAATGACTGGAAAGTTAGTGATAGCTAATAGGAGCAACATTGAGAGACAGGGTATTTTTGGAATAAGAGTCCACTGTTCTGCAGTTGACAATTACACACAGAAATGGAAATATGTTCAAGAAGCCAGAGGTAACATTTGAGGGAGACGAATGAATTAACAAAATGAAAGAAAATAGGAAGTCGAAGATTGAGAAGAAAACTATGACTATGGTTAATAAATTGGAAGAAAACATCAAGGAAAAGAAAAAAGAAAAACATGCAATAAGAAAACCAAACTTAGAATAAATGGTAGGCCAGGAAAGCTACAACACTCCTCACTCCTGGAAAAAAAAAAAAAATCCCACAGAATTACAGTTTCCATCCTTATAAATTTGTGAAAAGTCTAAAAAAGCCATGAGGAGGAGTCGGGTCTCATCTTGCCCTATTGAAAGTTTGTTCTGTTTCCCTCACTTAAAACTAACTAGAATAACATAAATTTGCTATTTGCTTGTGCATCTTTGTTTATAGCTGGCTATGGAACAGCTAAATGTCAAAAAAGATCCAGCTACTCCCTGAAAGGTATGTTAGAAATTCAAAGGGAACCAACAGTATTTAAACATGCAATGAGAGAGTTAATGCCACTTCAAATAAGTAGCCACACTAAAACCATGCCACCATACTGCAACTTTTTCTTTTTAAGATATATAATGGGAAATGTACCACGTTATCATACATTTTAAAAGGCCAATAAATTCACCATGAAAAACCTGGACAAACAACATTCTATTATTTCATTACTTCTCCAGATCGAAGAACAGGTGGGAAACAGGTGGCATCTCTTTCCCGTTTATTTTCACTCTGAAGTTACATGCTGTCCCGAGATTGGCACCATTAAGTGTTTATTAACAATCTTTCCTAAAATTCAGAGCTGCTCTTATTAGACAGCAGCTGTCTGACAGATTGAGATGAAGATTCAAAACTACTTTCATTTCCCTTCAAAATTAGGAAAGTGAAGAAGTGAGAGTTATAGAAAATGAGTTGGGATAGCAATAACAATTTTATAACTGGAAAAGATCTGCCCCTGCATTTACTGGAGGACTTGCTTAAATCATCCCAAAATGGTCATTAAGAAAGCAGAATAACAAAAGATGAGAAAATAAAGATTTAGTATTACAGCTCTAAATTTACTCTATAAATATAAAGAGGCTGAAATATATCAAGTTCCTACCTTTAATGCATCATGGAAGACTGGTACACCTGGGTGGTATGTGCAAGCATCTGGCCAAAAACAGAGAAGAAAAAAGATACTGCTTTATAATAAAGAAATAACATCATTTCCTTCAGGTGTTAACATTTGGTTTTTGTAGTTGTTAATCCTCATCTGAGGATATTTGCCGCTGATTTTATAGAGAGTGGAAGGGAAGGAGGGAGAAAGGGGGAAGGAGAGGGGAGGAAGAGAGAGAAGTGGGGAGACAGCGGGGAGGGAGAGTTGATTGGTTGCCTCAGGGGCCTGGGATTGAGCCTGCAATGAAGAACATGTTCTGAAGGAGAATCAAACCCTGGACCCTTCAGTCTGCAGGCCAATGCTTTATCTGCTGAGCCAAGTCTGTTAGTGCTCAGGTGTTAGCATTTTATCTTCTTTCCAAAGGCAGGCAATACTTTTCCTTAAAGATTCACTAATGCTCAAATATGATGCATGCCACACAGTGCTTATTATAACATTGCATTCAAATAGTACTAAAGTTCTAATTCAGGAGTATGATAGTTATAGATAAAAATAATGCAGAATTATTCAAGAATAACAAATTACATTCTGTATTCCTCTAATCTTTGTAGTAAAATTTTAGTACCAAAACTTGAAGCTCCAACTTTTTGACTGTTACCTTTCAATTCTGTTTTTACAAAAATACTGTCAAACTTTAAGATTACCTAAGAGATAATCTTAGGACAGGAATGAATTAACAAAAAAATATTTTAGAAAAATAGGTTCCAAAGTTTAAAACTGTTGTACTATCTAATTGCTAATTTAATTTTCATAAACAGGCGTCAATTCTTAGAGATGAAACTCATTAAAAAGAAGGTGAAGTTCTACAGTCTATTTTCACCGACTGTTATTCTGTCTGTATTTCCTTATACCTTTCTTCATCACACCACCAATTTTCACCTAACTCTCTCATGAAAATGGGCTTTAGTACAGTTTGTAGTATGGGCAATTACTTTGAAAAAAAGTTACATAATAGACAGACACACTTATCAAGCCTAGGAAAAAAAAGTTCAATTCCATACCTATGTAATCTCTAATAATAAAAGTGTAATATGCTAATTAGGCCAGACAGTTGAACAACCTTCTGGACGAAGCTGGGACTGAGAGGGCCCAGGCAAGCCACTGCAGCTGTAAACGCCAAGCCCCTTGCACAATTTCATGCATCGGGTCTCTAGTTCTCATATAAGATGTTTTGCTCAACCTTCATGTCTGTTTGGATTTCAACTGTTACAACCTCTGACTCCTGGTGTTGATTAAATAAATACTGGTACTTATGAAAATCTCTCTATCCCTGCCTTAACAGCCAAATATGGTTTCCTAACTTAGTAACCAGGTGTTGTCTAGATACTAAGCTAGCAAAGAGAACAAGAAAGTGTCAAGTATTTTCATGGCACAGTAAATAAACCCATGGATTAGAAAGAAGCTATTTATTAAGGGTAGAAAAGGATTCAAGGACTAAAAAAGGAGGTTCAAAGTAGAAATGAATGTGCAGAGGGATATGAAATTGAGAGGGGAACCAAAGTAGTGAACAGAGACTTTTAAAATGCCAAATTTACCAAGAGTCAGGGGCATAAACGCCTAACAGTAAGAAGTACTATCATAATAATGGTCAGTTTTTGGCAGAATAGCAGCAGCAATGAGTCAGGTCTTAACCATACAACTAGTATGAACAACATCGGAAAATCACCGCTTTCAAAAGCAAGCAACAAATAGATGGGCAATGTCCTCTCTAGCCTTTCTATAGCACTTTGACCAGTTTTTCTCCAAATAATATTTTATGGGTTACAAGTTACAAATTAGAAGTAATTAAGAGCCAAGGGCTTTTAACAATGGAACTGACCCCAGCTCAAATTCTGACCTGCCTCTTGGCAGCTGTTTCAATTTTCTCATATAAGTGAAACGGCGCTTTTTTTCAGAATAACTGCTTATACCATATGCGAGTTACAAGTCAGGTTTCCTTTAAACATTCATTTAGTTAGTTGTGTTTCAAACTGAAATGTTCTATCAGCTTTGAAGAGCCTTGTTATTTAGTCAATACCTGCCAGATCTCTCCCATTACACAGAACTTTCTCCTAACATCGTCCACAGTTCACCCTTCGCTCTTCCAATTTCTAACTCCTTTTTCTTAACTTTCCATTCTTTCAATCAACCTACTGGAATATTTATTCTAAGTCTCTAAATCGGGGTGAGAACCTTTTTTCTGCCAAGGGCCATTTGGGTATTTAAAACATCATTCACGACTTGACAAAATTATCAACTTAAAAATTAGCCTGCTATATTTGGTCAAACGTTTAATTAACTCACCCCTAACGCGTTGGCAGGGTAGGACCAAATGATTTTGTGAGCCTTACACCGCCTGCTGAATGTCCCCACTTCTGCTCTAAATAATCCCCGTTCCGCTAAAGCAAAGAACGTGAGGCAACTTGATTGGCGCTCCCAGCTGATTTTGGTATTGCTGATGGGACTGTCCATGCCTCTGGCGTTCCTGTACCCGACGCCCAATCTCTTTTTGTACCATTTGACACTCATAGAGCTGACTTCCAAAAAATGGTGTATCTCTTCTTAATTTTAACACCATATAAATCAACATACTAACATACTGTCCGGTACTACCAAGCATCAGCCTTTCACCATTACTACGTTAAAGTAGAATACATGCAGACATTAAAGGAGCTTACTTTCCCCCACTCCTCCCTCAATGGAGGATACTTTTCCATTGATTTTTAGAGTGGGGGAGAGAGGGAGAGAGAGAAATATCGATGTGAGAGAAACACATCGATTGATTGCCTTCTCCATGAGCCCCACCAGGTCCAGGGTCAGGGAGGCGCCTGCAACAGAGGTACCTGTCCTTGACCGGAATCAAACCTGGGACCCTTCAGTCTGCAGGCCATCGCTCTAGCCACTGAGCAAACAGGCTAGTCTTGGGCAAGGCAGTCTACTTTTCACATAGGCTACCAATAGCAGAGGGCTTTAAAAGCCCTCACTCCTCAATTATGTCATCACTGAAATCTCAGTTTCCCCCTTGAATAACTTAACATTAATATTAATGTCAACGACAATCACTTTAGTATTGTACAAAGATTGAATTTATCTTTTCCTTAGAGTCTTGCCAATGCTCTTTATTTTAATTGATGCCACCAATTCACCTGTGCACCAAGATAAATATGTCAAAGATCTCGGAGCCTGGAGATTTAATCTTCACAACGTGGAACCATGTTGCTACCACGTTGAACTCGGCCTCTCTGAATAATACCTACTTCACAGGGTTGTGGTGAAAATTAAAATGAGATAATGTTACAATGTCCAGCACATAGAAAACCTACACTAAGCGCTAGAGCTGATTTTGAATAAGCATCACCTCCTTCGATATTCAAATAATCAAGTCACTTCTTTGTCCCATTCGCCAATCAAAATTCAAGTTCATTGATCACTTTCTATTTTTTTTTCTCTAGTCTGGTAACTAACTTCTACTTTACATCCTTAATGCTACATCTTGGTGTTGGGAGTTAACCCAATCACTTTTATCCATAACATGGCATGTTATTTAACTTATTATATTTTGGTTAATCTTCACGGGAGGTTATTTTTCCCATTGATTTTTGGAGAAAGTGGGAGGGACGGAGGGAGGCGGGCATACACCCACTGGTTTCCTCTCGCACGCATCCCCCCACGGGGCCCGGGGTGGAACCTGCCACGCAGTTAGGTGCCCCTTGGGCCGGGAATCGAACTCGCGACCCTTCTGTGCACGGGGGCGAGGCTCTAACCACTGCCCCACACCGACCACGTTATTAAAACAGAAAGGCCAGAGCAACAATTACAATACCTAGCACCACCCCCCCCCCCACGGCTGTACCACCCCCCGGAGCGGGTTGTATCAACACCTGAGACACAGAATAATGTTCCCAACCAAAGTACGCTTATAGAAGGAAGTGTATAGCAGGAGGGAGGGGGGGTGTCTCCCATCCACGCCGCAAGCCGGCTTCCAGACCAATGAACTTCTACACGAAGGCGACCAGGCCGAACCCCGAAATGCTGGGCTAACCCGCCCACCGCCCAGTCCTCCGGTCCGTCTGTACAGCAAACACACACACACACACACACACACACACACACACACACGCACCGCGAACCCCCCGCCCGGGGAGCCCGGAGACGTGGCTGCGGGAAGGTGTCCCCATTCCACGTGCGGCCGCGGGCGGCGGACTCGGGCTCCCGCCGGGGGCCGCGCACCTGGGGCCCGGGAGGGACGGATCGGGGGCGGCGGGGCGCAGGCTCGCGGGGGTGGGGGGACCCAGGGCTCCCGGGGTGCAGGGGGGCGGGCAGCGCGGTTCCCTCACCGTCGGCGTTGCTGTCGGCATCGAAGCGCTGGCCGCAGCCGCGGTTGTAGCAGAGCAGCGCCATCTCCGTCCCAGCGACCGGGCCGCGGGGCGGGTCGCGTTCAGCTCCCGCGGCGAGCGCCAGTCTGGTGGTGGCGGCGGCGGCGGCGGCGGCGGCGGCGGCGGCGGCGGGAGCCGGCTTCCGGAAACGGCCGCTTTCAGGTCAGGAACCTTCGCGAATTTTCCGGTCGCGCAGGCGCAGACGGGAGGGGAAGGGGCGGAGGCAGAGGTAGGGGCGGGGCTTCGTCCGGGGGCGGGGCTGCGGCGGGTCAGGCTCAAGGTCAGACGCCAGCGGAGCGGCGGGGCTGCAGGCTGGGAGGTGGGCCGGGCTGGCACCAGAGAAACCTGGATGGCGGAAAGCTTGGGCCTCCGCGGGGATGGCCAGCTTTTTGGGGCTCCTTGTTGGCTCCGGGTGACTCCCGCAGATACTGCCCAATTCCTCTCAAGACTGCAATTGCACCCCGTTGTCCATGGTTTCTCCCCCAGAGGCTTGAGAGCAGTGGTGTGCAAGCTCAGTCAACAGAGCCAAATAAATTTCTATTTTGAGAGCAAAATTTTTTAAAAGTTAAACTTCTTCTAAGGCCACTTTTTCAGAATAAGACCTGCCCAGGCCGTGGTATTTTTATGGAAGAGCCGCAATCAAGGGGCCAAAGAGCCGCATGTGGCTCTCGAGCCGCAGTTTGCCCACCTCGGTGGCTTGAGAGTATCTGCAGAATCCGGTGGGTTTCCTGAGTCCTCCCCACGAGGGCGTGGCTGCTGCGGGAGGAATGAGAGGAGTGGGGGGCGAAGCTGCCTGAGTGTCCATCCTTTTCATTCTGAAGCTCTGAAGAAATGTGGGCCCTGGGGGCGATTTGACTGAGTCCCTGGTCGCTGTGAAAAGACCAAGCGCCCAGAGATCTGAGTATCAGAGGAAAGAATGGATCTCATGCAGTGCAGGCAAGGGTCGCTTTCATGTTAGTTTCCATTTAATTTCGTTTGTCGGTACATAATTCTTCAATTATGTACCGACAAACGAAATGTAAGATTTCATCAAGTGCATGGTACATCGCCTAGTAATGCATTAGCAGGCACACGCAAAGGACTCTAGCTCCGACTTGTATACCTGCCAAACGCCTTTAGATAACAATATTAAAAATAGGAATATCAGCAGTTTTTCAGTAGAAGTACAAAGCTACATACCATGTTTTTAGTGATCCCACGTGTGTTAATGAGAGATCAGCTCATAATTCTACCTCCCCTCCCCCGCCCCGCAATATTTCCATGTTCCCCTCCCCTCTTTATATTTAGAAATATTATATGTAATGTAGAAGGATCTTGGGTTCGATTCCGGTCAAGGGCACATGCCCGGGTTGCGGGCTCCATTCCCAGTGTGTGGTGTGCAGGAGGCAGATTGATCAATGATTCTCTCTCATCATTGATAGCTCTCCCTCTCTGAAATCAATAAAAAAAAAAAAAATTTTTTTTAAAAAGAAATTTTTTTAAAAAATTAATGTAATAATTCCAACCTGGATATATACAATGTTGTATTCTTCATTTAACCTAATATGAGTATTTTTCTATTTTATTTTGTTATGAATGATGAAGTAATATTTTGTTGGATAACTATTCTTCCTTTAATTTCACCAACTTTCTTTATTGAACTTAAGTTTTGATAATCAATTTACTGTATGTTTGTTTTTCTTATTTTAGATTACTCCTCAAAATAATTGTTGAGTACAGTACTGGAGTAAAGGGCATAAGCCTTTTAAAATAAGTTAGGCATTTTAAAGGTATATATTGCTAATTATTCTCAAAAGATGATACCAATTTGCAATTTTGCCAGCCATGGATTCAAGGAATAAACCATAGGAATTAGTCTTACACAATTAGAAATGTAGAAACTTAGAAAGCTTTCATTGTGGCCAAATCCATTGTCTAAGTAACATTATTAGGATTGTTGGCAAATAGTTTTAATATTTGTCAGTTTTTCAACTATAATTTGTAAAAATCAGAAAATTATAAATGATTATGATAATTTGAAAATGCAGATATGTTAAGAACAAAATCTAGAATGATTCCACCACCTACAATAAGTACTAAATCACTAAAATAACTTTTTGATAAATTCATTTTCAAGTGTTGCCATTGTTTTTGTTTTTGTTTTTGTTTTTCCAACCCTAGGCACTTGTTGGATTACTAGGTACCAGGAATACAGGAACTGTGCTGGTAACATACATAATTTACACAGCCTTTGATTCCAGCTCCTGATCCCTTCCCCAACACACAGTTATAAGTACTCTTACACAGTATCTTCATATTATTCCTACGTTTTGAAAGCAGTGCTAGAGAGTAGTTAAGAGGAGAGGTTTGGAGTCAGACCAGTATTCAAACCCTAGCTCTATAACATAAAGTTAAAATACTTAAATCTGATCATTTCAGAACATCTCTCTAGACTTCAATATTCTCTTCTACAAAAAATAATTATTTTGTGTAGATGATGGGTGTGTTCCTAGTATTAAAAGCATGCAAATAAATTACCTGTAAAACACTTAGTACATTAGCTTGCTCATGGTAGAAGCTCAATAAATGAAAACGATTTTTTCTTTGAAAATTTCTATGGAAATAGTCTGACTTAAGGGTAATTAGTCCTATTGCGGCAAATACCAGTATTTTCTTAAACAACCATAGGTGATTCTCTGTTGCCATTGAAGTGTTTCCCAATATTTTCTTTTATAAATAATAGTATCACAAAGACATCAAGAAGTATGTACAAAAATGTTCAGAGTAGCATTATTTAATGAAAGACAGAAACTGGAAATAATCCAATTATTAAGGAATTATGAAAAGGTATGCACAAATTAGATACTACACAAAAATGGGAATGAATGAACTACAAATTTTGCAAACATAATGTTGAATCCAAAGAGCCAAAGGGAGAAAGAAAACCATGCTTTGTAACCATTTACATAAATTTCAAAAGCAGGCATAAACAAGCCATTGTGTTTAAGAATGATACTAACATGATAAAGCCATAAGTTGTTGTCATAAATGCCAGATGATGGTTACTTTTAGGAAGGTTAGAGGAAAGGCGGATGTCTCTGAGGTATTGGCATATTTCATTTCTTAATGTGGTGCATATTCACTTTATAATGATTCATAAAGTAAGGCACTTATTTTATGTACTTTTCTAGATGCTTAAGTATTTAAAATTTCCAGTGGTAACATAATTTTTAAATGTTATAGCATAATTTTTTCATATAAAAGACTAGCTTGAATAATCAAATTAGATACAGATTGGTTGTCTACAGAAATATCTTTGAACTCTAACTTATTTACAGTGAAGGGTCTTTGAAAATTGGATGGAAGTAGGTAAACAACCAGGGAATTAAGGAAAAAAACAAAAACAACCAGTAAACATACCATCATCTACCTATTATCTCAAATCAGAGGAATAGAATAGTCAGCCATGAGCTTGAAACTTGTCAACTTTCATTTTACTTCCTGATCAATTATAAATCTTGAGTGCCATGTAAGATTAATTAACCCTGGCTACCTGTCTACAACAGGAAGTCCAATCTCAGTGTTTAAAAAGTAATCTAACTTTTTAAAAAAAGTAATCTTACTTTACTAGCTGGTTTAACTCACTCTTTCTCCTCCCCACCTCCTTCCCTTCCACTGTCTCTAAAAATTCAATATGAAAAATATCCTAGCTTGAGAAGTAACCAATTTAAAAAAAAGTAATCTTATATGTATTTTGATTACACATGTCATATTGAACCTCCATTTTTTCTCCCCTCAGATCCCACTAAAATTGTGGTGAAAGTACACACACATACTCCATAAGGTTTGAATAGGGTCCCAAAATAGACAATTTAGCCGAAACCGGATTGGCTCAGTGGTAGAGCGTCGGCCTGCAGACTGAAAGGTCCCGGGTTCGATTCGGGTCAAGGGCATGTACATTGGTTGCGGGCACATCCCCAGTTGGGGGTGTACAAGAGGCAGCTGGTCGATGTTTCTCTCTCATCGACATTTCTAGCTCTCTATCTCTCTCCCTTCCTCTTTGTAAAAAATCAATAAAAATATATAAAAAATAGACAATTTATATCAGCAACTTTTGTTTTGTTTAATTGTGTCTTCATCGTGGTATTTAGGAATGTTTGTATTTTGGTCCAGTGGTTTCCTGTGTGCTGATACCTTTATAAAATTACCATTTTCTTTTTCTTACTTAGCCTTTCCTACTCAGTTCATCGGATTTAACTGACTTGTACTTTTAGTTTCCTTTAAACCAGGGGTTTTCAACCTTTTTTATCTCATGACACATAAACTAATCACTAAAATTCTGTGGCAAAAATAGGTATAATTTGATTCATTCACACTGGACAGCTATTTTTGTGTTGGCTATTATCTTTTTTTTAAGTTGACAATCTAAGGGAAAAGAGGTCAGTTTTCCTGTCTAAATAGTCAGGTATTGCATTTTAAAAATATTCTTATGGCACACCAGTGTGTCTCTTTCGGTACACAGGTTGAAAATTGCTACCATAAAAAGTTTATGAGATTATTATTCTTTTCTTCTTTCCTTCCCTCTCTCACTTTGTTTTTTTCTCTTCTATTTTGTTAAAGAATGTAACATTTACATGTTAGTCTTCCTCTCTGATGCTTACCTTTATTATTTAGATATATTTATCATATATATTATATGTTAACATAGAAATGCATATTCATCAAATATATGTATTTACTCATAAGAAATATATTAAAAGTATGTTCACTGCTTACCATTAGTCCTGTGGCTGAAGTTTCCTCATTCTTATGGTCAGATGAAGTTGGTCTTCCAATACAATCATCAGGAATAGCTTATGAAAACAATATTCTCTGAGTTCTTACATGTTAAAAATATTTTTTTCTGTAGACCTGAAACTAAAAGAAGGACTTGAGTAGATATAAAATCATTTGTTCATACTTGTTTTCTAAGCATTTTTACAAATATTGCTTCATTATCCTGATTTCTGCATTGTTCTTTGTAACTATTGGACATCTGACATGTAG